CGCGTGGCATCTCGGCAGCACCGGGGCTGGAGGCGGCTTTTTCCCACACCAGGCACTGCTGGGGCAGGGAAACCTCTGCCATCCCCGCTGCTGGATGATGGATGCTGGGCTTTGCCCCTCTGAGTTTTTTCCATCCCGCTCCCTCTGGGGGAATCCCAGGGCTGTCTGGGGGTTGCTTCATGCTGGAGCTGCTCCATGCAAACAGGCCGAAACCCTCCGTGCTTATAAATAATAAAAGGTGACTTACTGTGAATACGAAGCACTCTCCTGTCCCAAAAAAGCCCGATGTTGCCCCACTCTTCCTCCTTTCGCTCCAGTCAGAGGAGAGAAACGCCCCGCACACCTTGGGGAGAGAGCACGGCAGCAGTGAGCTGGCAAGCCAAGGGGCCTGGAGCAGCGATCACTTGTCTTGGGAGATCTTGGGAAAAAGATTTTGGGATCAAGACTCAGGTAACACATTCATGTTGCCTACGGGGATTTTACCAGTCCCTGGGAGCAGATGAGACATCACTCCCTAGGCATTTTATCCTCTTCTTCCAACCCGTGCTCAGGCCAACCCTGGTGTAGATATCCTTCACTTGGAGGAGACCTACTGAAGGGTGGGAAATCAAAGCTGCCCTTGGTACTAAATGAAGAATAAAATGAGCTAAAGAGTGTAAGTAGTGGGGTTTTAAGTCACCTTTTGTAGTATGTGTAAAGCCCTGAAGGATGGCAGAGTGTTTATCTCCTCACCACACTGAAGTGTCTGGCCAGGGAAAGTCAGGCCTTGAAGGCCAATAAATCTTTAGGATGCCTGAACAATTTACAGAACTTGCTTCTGCTGTTTGATGAAGAGAGATACAATACGGGTTTATGAACCGCTCACGGAGTCCCTGGAAAGTGGCCTGGTTTGGGTATTTTTGCAGTTATTGCACGACTTTCAAGTACTGAAGAAGCTGTCCTTATTTCTCTTCCATTTCCCTTGTGTGGCTGCTACTGAAATCAAGGAGAGAGCCTGCGTTTAATATATTTTAAGCAAGACCTCGTGCAGGCAAAGCATCTGCTGCCTTCAGCGAAGTCTGCTGGGTAAACACTTCGTGTTTCAATCTATATTTGCAGAAAACAAAAACAAAACAAAACCCACCCTATGTCTGATGGCCCCTCTCCTTCCCTCTGTCCCCTCCTCTGCTTTCCCCAGTAGGGAGAGCCACAGAGCCCTTCCCCAAGGCAGCATCCACCCCCCAGCCCCACACTCCGCTTGGGCTGGACTTACTTCTCCCTCCGTGGTTTTTATGAGCAGCACGGTTGGTTCGTAGCCTTCACAGCACGAGTAAAACCTGCAGAGATGCAAGTCTGAGTTGTGCAAGTCTGAGACCAGCACAGTGAGCCCAGGCGTTCGGCAAGGTCCTCGCCTGGAGCTCATCACAAAACAGCCTAGAAATGACACATATATCCTCCAGGTATGGGGAAAACAAGCAGTCAGGTTTGCCTGCAGCTGTGCAGGGATAAGAGAAGGGGAGAGCTCTCAGGGGAGTGAAAACAACTCCTGTGGCCAGCAGGAGAGGTGTGAATTAGCAGCAACTGGGTGGGCAAACGTGCGGGAAAGGCGATGGGTACCAAACGCTGCCCTTCCCCACGTGATTCCCGCGGCGTGTGCGACGGCTCTGAGCTGCCCTGCCGCATGGTGGGGACGGGCACAGAGCCAGGCAGGCTGGCACTGAAGCCCCAGCCGGGCTGTCAGCCTGCGGGGTGTCCTCGGCAGCACATTTGCAACCCAGGACCACTCTCGTCTGGAGTGGGAATCCTCTAGTCTATCTTACACTAGTGGGGGGAAAGTGCCCTTTGGTGAGGGCTTGAAATAGCCTGTTTTTCACACTCTATGTGACATGAAGCTCTAATGGAGAGTTGAGAAGAGCCGCTGCTTTCCTGGGATGATTGTTATGTTGAGCAGCCTGCCTGAGTGAGCTTGTAAGGGATAGAGGCAGAAACACTTCATCATTTAGCTCAGGCAGCTCTGGTGTTTCTGCAGTAAGTGGGGGAGTCAGCTTATTATGGGCTCTCTCGAGTCATCGTTTTTGCTCGGTGAAGCAGGTACTTTCTCTGATAAATCCAAACATAAAATACCGTGCCCAGGGAGGTGGGCTGAGGGCACGGGAAGGGGCAGTGTGCCAAGCAAGCTTGCCTTCAATCCCGCTGCATTTCTGAACTTTTGGGAGCCCGGGGCCCTGCCTGACTGCCAGCCTGCCATCGCCTGTGCCCGCTGCTGCTGCTGGACGGTGGCACAAGGAAGCAGGAGCCTTTGGCCAGGCTGCTGCAGGGCAGACAAGCCCTGGCTGCTAAGATTTGGGCATCCCTCACAACACCTGGGCTTTCCTAGCTTGCGTCCAGAGGGTTCGATGCCTCTCCACTGTGGGATGCACCCCACATCTGAGCTCTGCCTGCTCTGTCCATGCTGCTCCTCAGCGTAACGTGTTCCTGTGACGAGCATGTTTGGGTTTCCTGCCTGAAAATATTCATGCAAACGTAACATCTGCTCGCTGGAAGTGTTTTTCTGTTCCATGGACCGGGAAATCGATGGAAAACTCATTTCCCAGCTCAGTTTTGAGCTGCAGCATGCAGCAGCTGCCTTTGGCTCTGTGCCACCCTCATGGAGCAGGAGCTGGGCTGCTCCCAGGCTCACGGCCTCGAGGGAAAGTGTGTGCCCTTAGTGGCAGCAGGTAGACGTGGGGCTCCTGCCACAGCCAGTAAAGTCTCCAGGAGACTCCAGGAGACCTGGGAAATGCGCCCCATAAACCCAGCATGTCGTAAGGGCTCCTTCCTACCCCACGGGTGTGCCAGCCCTTACCCAGTTCTGCGCTGGGCCCGTCTGCGTGACCCGAGTTGTGCCTGGCCCTTTACCTCTGCAGGCTGTACCCGTTTTCCGAGGTGGAGAAGAGCAGCAGCGGGGGGAAGAGGGAGAAGCGCTCGGGGATCCAGGACCAGATGATGCGCATCTCCTGCGCCGTTACAATGCTGGAGGTGAAATTCTGCAGGTCCACGGCCAGGTGGAAGGATTGCCTGCGCAGCAGAGGACGCCTGTTACTGCCAAGCCGGGGGCCACGTTGACTTATGTGCGTGCAGCCCCACAAATCAGGTTTCCTTGCACCTTCTGCACCCTGAGCTTCCTTTTGGTGTTGCGGTCTCTAATTCTGTGGTACCCCTTAACCATATGTGTGTCTGAAACGCACCTTCCTGCGCCGTTACAATGCTGGAGGTGAAATTCTGCAGGTCCACGGCCAGGTGGAAGGATTGCCTGCGCAGCAGAGGACGCCTGTTACTGCCAAGCCGGGGGCCACGTTGACTTATGTGCATGCAGCCCAACAATTCAGGTTTCCTTGCACCTTCTGCACCCTGAGCTTTCTTTTAGCGTTGCGATCCCTAATTCTGTGGTACCCCTTAACCGCATGTGTGTCTGAAAGGCCCCCAGCAGAGTCAAACGAAGCCAAAACGTGATTACGTGATGCTCCCTTCATGTTTACTTCCTCTGTGACTCCTAGTTTACCTGCTTAACCCTGAGAGCATCCCCTGTCTGTGCTGGCAAAGCAGGAGGCCCTCTTACCTGCTCTGCACCATGGTGATGCCTCTCTCCATCAGCGCCTTCCTGTTGGCCATCTGGAGAAGCCAGATTTCCTTGCGGGAGAACAGCCTGATGCCAAACGCTCTCTCTAAGAGCTTGTCGACGGTCACGTGCTCCTCAATGTTCTGCAGGAAAGCTTGCAGGTCTGCCTTGATGTCAGTGCCCTGCAGCTCCGAGGAGCTCCCTGAGAGCCTGTACTGCTTCAGCAAGGCCAGCGCAATGCGGTAGAGGACCTTCTGCCCCTCCAGCAGGTAGACATCGAATATGCGGATGGCGTAACTGAAGGGGAGGTCGTGGAAGAGCCACGACAACCATTCCGAGTAGACCTCAAAGACGTTCTCGGAGGTGCTGGCTATCAGTCTGTGAGCTGCTGGGCAGTGCTTGTTGGCCAGGTCCCCAAAAGTCATGCAGGAGGCTTGGTGGGCCAGGAAAGATTGGTCAATGTAGCTGGTGTGGGGGGCATTGCTGGCGATGAGGCGAGAGATGTTCTCGAAACACTGAGCTTCCCCCCGGCTGTAGTGCAGCAGCAGCGCCGCCAGCGCGGGCAGCGCGGGGCTGTACGTGATGTCGGGGAACAGGTTGCCGATGCAGATGAGGATCTTCTTCAGCGCGGTGACCCCTTCCAGGTTCAGGCAGTACGTGGGCATGGAGCAGCCCTCGAGGAAGTCCGGCAGAGGGTGGGAGCTCACACTCTGCTTCCCGAAGAGCCGGCCGGCTACGTCTGTGTAGACTAGAGCATCCGGCGTCACGAGCCGGCAGGTGACCTGCTGGATGACCTGGTGGTAAACCTGGGCTCTCAGCTCGCGGCTCCGTGCCCAGTAGCCCTCTCTTGCCAGCCTCTTCAGCTCTTTCTTGGGCTTAGTGAGGATGTCTCCAGGGATATCTGCCTGCTGCTCCACGTCCGGCATCCTGTCCCAGTCCACGAACTGTCCATGACCCAGACAAGAGGAGGCATCGATATCCCACGTGTCAGGCTCGGACGTGATCACCACAGTGACTGGAGACGAGCTGAACATCTCTGCAGGAGAAAGACCCTCCATTGGACGCGCTTCATCACCCCGGCTGACAGCGTTTCACCCTGCCTGGCTGCACTTCTACCTTTCCTGTCAAGGGAAGGGCTGCAGGAGGCCTTGCCTGGCTGGAGCTCCTCACACCGCCCTCGCCGGCTCACTGGCACCTGCAGACCCTGTACTGTGCCCAGCTGGAATATCGGAGCTGCTCTGGAGGGACCCTGGCCCAGGCACGTTGTCCTGCAGCACCGAGCACAGCTGGGCACTGCATTAACCCCCAGTGCAGCAGTAGTGCCCTCAAAGCCGCTCGTTTCCATCACTAGCTGGAAGGCAGTAAATGATTTCTGCCTCCTGCGTGTTGGTGGGGGTGCCTCGCTGGGAGGTGCTGAGCGCGGCCTCCTGCCCGCGGCGGCAGG